TTCAGTAACAGTACGATTCAACTTTATATAAGAAATATTGTACAAAAAAGAACTTTGCAAATTTTTGTTGTGGCGTTGCCACGTGTATATAATGCATTTCATTTGAGACCACCAGATTACAAAAAAAAAATACCCAAAACCAAAAGCTACACGACCGTAAATTTATAAAATCTTATATAACACCGCTAAATATAAGCGCTGCTTGTTTGTGAAATTTTACAAGTGATGTTATTCATTTATATAATAAACATGCCAATGTTTGTACATAATTCCGTGCGTTTGTGCTTACGAAAATTTCGCTTATTTCATATCTGAGGCGCAAATAATCAGATTGCCTAGCTTGGTTGTGTTATCTTCATTGATATGATGGATACGATCGATGTGTTGTTATCGCGTGTGTGTGTGTGTTTGTACACCTGTACAAAAACAAAAACAAAACTGGTATGCGCTTTGTGCCTATTCTTGGCAACGCAATAAAACAGGTTAAAAATGCGGTAAACAAAAACCTTAAAACATAGATAACGGTAAGCGCGCGCAGAACGGCTGCAAATACCGATGCGAAAACCTGTACGATTCTATCATTGCTGACAATTGAATGAACGAAACAAACGATAACACAGCAGCATAGCTAATTTGCTGAGAGCTCACGTCATCACACACAATGACCACCCCTTTCATATAGAAAGATATGTCTGTTCGAAGAAAAATTTTCGCGCACATAATCAGAAATTTTCCATAGCGCTTAAGCAATAATAATTTCGTAAAAGTACTTCAATACAATAACCATTTGTAAACAAACCATAAAATACGATTGGAAACTCACCTGGCGTTATCGGCTGATATTCTTGTTGTGGCAGTAGGAAGCATGTCAAAACCTAAGCAGCAGCAATCAAGGGGGTAGAAGAGACAGAAAAAAAAGTAAAAACAAACAAAACACACAATTATTAGTTACTCATTTACAAATGCGAAAAACGGGTTATTTAGAACTCCAAGCCGCAATACACGAGCCAAATCAAAAATGAAAACAAAGCAGAAAATATGTAAAGTGTAAATATTGAGAAATATACTGCGTAGGTATATGTTTGTGTGTGTAGTGTGGCCGACGCTATGGGTAATGAGGTTGCAACGAAAGCGCCGCTGGCAGCAACAAGGCGTAACTACTTCACGTAATTACGTTTGGCACGCGCTTGCAGCAACAAAATAAAACATAATCAGCGCACACTTCCTGCGGCGCGCTTCCCTCATTGCACAACGAACCCAAACGCTTAACACGTGTAGATACAAACAAATAAAAATACATACATACATATACATACATATATGTATATATAAATATATCTGTATAAAAAGCGCCACTTATCCATCACTCTGTCTGCTGTGCTTGTGTACTTTGGCTTAGAGCGCGCATACGCGTCGTTACACTCACCTGTTCACCTGTGGCCTCGTCTGTGTCCGGCTGGAACGTTAGCAGCGGCTGTGCCTGATTTTCCGATAACCAAACAGCTTTCAGCTGCAAATTCACCAAAGTGTATGGCAAGTACTGCAGCTGATTGCCCGACACGTCCAGCACATGCAACACCGTACAGTTGCCCAACTCTGGCGGCAGCCGCTTTAATTTGTTATCGCGCAAACTCAAAACGCCCAAATTTGCACAATTCCCTATCTCGGCCGGTAGGTATTCCAATGCGTTGCGATCCACGTTCAGGTTGCTCAATTTAGTCATTTGCCCAATCGATACGGGTAGCTCTGATAAGAAGTTTTCGGTCAATATCAGTTCTTGCATGCTTTCACAACTGGAAGAGATAAGGTAAGGCCGATGGGTTTATAAATAGTGCAATAATAGTGTAATATTATAAATTTAAATATATATAAGTATAGACGTGTGTGTGCTTGCATTGCGGGAAATAGATAACAGCAATTGCGGTTAGTCAACCACGAAACCCCGCAGCAGACGGCAAATCATCAAGGTGACGTCAGCCACTGACGTACCTAAGTATCGATAAACGGGTACTTATACATATGTATATTCACATTGCATCTAAGCAAAACAAGCCTAATATTTATGGCTGCGTTGTATAATAATCACACGAATACTGAATAATGCCTTTTGGTTGAATTTTTATTTACATGAATCAACTTGCGGTGATTAATTTTACATAAAATAAAAAAAAAAGATAAGTTCGAATGCGCCGCAACTATAGAACTCAGGAGTATTTTTTACAGCACAGATCAGTTTGTATGGCAGCTACTTATAGTATGCTACAGTAGTCCGACCTGAATTTTTTTCAAGATTGTGGCGCTGCATTGTATAATAATCCATGCCAAATTTCTTGGCGATACGTGGCCAAACAAAAAAGTTTTCCATACAGGGACTTGAGTTTGATAAGTCAGTTTGTATGGCAGCTATATGCTATAGTAGTCCAATCTGAAAATTTTTGTCACGAGATTGTAGCGCTGCACTAGAGAATAATCTCTGCCAAATTTCGTGCAAATACCTTGAAAAACAAAAAAGTTTTCCGTACAGGGACTTGAGTTTGATAGGTCAATCTTTATAGCAGCTATATTATACAGTAGTGTAATAAAGACGATTTCGACAAATGTGCAGCTACTTGTAAAGAAAAAGACGAGGCCAAAATTTCAGATCGATATCTCGAAACTGAAACTAGTTCTGGTATCTACAGATAGACGGACGGACGTGTCTAGGTCAACTCAGCTCTTAACACTGATCATTTAAATGTATATACCATATTTTAAAGGTTCTCGGATGCTTCTTTCTGTGTCTAATATACTGCTCAATGTATAATTAGTGACTTATAGTGAATTAATTTCAAGCTCACTTTCGGAGATCAAAATAAAAGCTAGGTTTTATTCTAAGCAGAAACCTTATCAAAAGTGGATGGAGAACTGTCTAGAAGTTCACGCCAGTGAGGAAAGTTCTCTGAGCGCCAGAAACGATAATATTACGTATGGCTCAAACAGTACACGACTTCCGGTCTTAGACCAAGTATCCTCTGGGTAGCCAAAAAAAACATCCCTCCCCAGAGTTGTGGTTCGGTTTCGGAACCCGCCACATAAAAAACACTCCCAATAAAAGTAGAAAACAGCTTCGAAAGAGCAACCCAACTTTTTTCTGTTGAAGATTCGACCAATAAAAAAGAAGAAGAAACTTTAAACTAGGTTCATTTAACTTATTGGCGAGACATAGATCAATCAAACTTCAGGATGACACACCGTTAATTAATAATAAAAAGCGAACGAACCGACGACTGTCCGCAAAAATGACAAATATACATACATATGTATTTTTTGAGTGTACTTACCATCCTATAGTTGGATTCAGTTTCTGTAAACGATTCTGATCTAGTTTTAGAATTGTCAGCCTACTTAATTTGGCGACACCATCGGGCAGTGTCTCAAGTAAATTTTGCGCCAGATCTAAGTCAGTTAAATTCACGAGACCACCGATTTCATTTGGTAATTTCTCCAGCCTGCAACACAGAAAATACAGACGGTTCATCAATATAAAAAAAACTATAAAGGTAATAATGCAAAAATAAATATATAGTATATACCCCGATAAATTATATTGAGCAATCTAGCAAAAAATCAGTAAACGAAACATACCTGTTTTCGGAAACGTCAAGATATGTCAAATTGGTTAGTAGCCCAATTTCAGGTGGCAGCCTCTCTAACTGATTGTGATCGAGCCAGAGCTCATGCAGACCGGGCAAGTAGCCCAAATATGGTGGCAGCTCTTCAATTTCATTGTCGCCCAAATCTAATCTCTTAAGCTTCGTCAGTTGTCGTATCGATTCAGGCAGATGTTTCAATAGATTCTCACGCAGCTCCAATGATTCCAATTGTGTTAAGCTGGAATTGAAATGGATTTACAAATGAGACGTACTATAGTAGACTATCACGGAACCAAATTTTTACATAAAAATATTATTATATTATGAGTTTAGAACTCTGTGATTATAAGTGAATAATGTTTTCCAATTTATTAGTCAGAAGTTCAATTTTATCTAACGCTTAATAATTTTTGACAATTTTTTCTTGTTTATAAATTTATATATCTTCAAATCGACGAGGAACTTGATTACTATGTCAATGTCAATTAGTGTCAATACTCGTCAATTGTTATCGATAACAATCAACTTTGCGATTAATTTAATATATTATTTGGAGAGACACAACAGCAACTGTAATGAGTTTGAACATTTAAAGGCAGCTTACCTTCCGAAATCAACTGGTAATGTGGTAAGTGACATATCATTTAAGCCTAAAACTGTTAAATTTTTGAGTTGAGAAAATCCTGCTGGTAGTTTTGGAATCGGATTTGAGCTGAAATCAGCGACCTGCAGGTTTTGTAGGTGTTTAATGTCATCAGGAATGTCTGGAATATCTGTAAAGGACAGAAAAGAAAATATATGTATTATAAGCATTAGTAATAATAATTTAGTGCTCATTTTAAAAAATTATTGTGTTATAAAGTATTGAAAATTGTATTATTAAATGTTAAATTTTTAAATGCATGTTTTCTCCTATGATTGTCATACACCTTAAACTAGGAATTTAGTTGCGACTTTAATATTTCCGCACATACCTATGCTATGTAGCGCACAAAGGACACACGTACGCGGATATAAACCATTTAGCTCACCACACTGAATAATTTTGCTAAATTCGGTATCAATGCCGAAAATTTCTATTTTTATACCAACGGTTTTACTCGTAGAAGTGCTTGTGTGTAAAAAACCTATGGTAATAATGTGACCAAACACCATGCCATGTGGACATACAAATATATTGATACATATGTACATATGTAAGCACATAACTAGATTATTTAAGGGGGGAAAATCAACAAAGTAGGTCGATAATATTGTGATAAATATTTAGCGATTTTTACACAAATTTTGCAGCATCCAATGATTCAGATTCGGCGGCTTAAAATGTAAATAACGTCTATGTTTCTGATACTGTTACAGCCAATCATGCAACATTTTTTGTTTCGTCGATTGCGCACAAGTAACTTTGATATGAAAGAATGGAAATATTAGAGTTCAACCATAATGTAGGCTCTAAGGGTCAACAAAAACGGTCAAATCGAGATGAGCCACAGGATGTGTTTGGTGATATTGGCGGGGAATCATATAATATGAGTATCAAGCGCTTATTCAGATCTGTTCAGTCCTTTAGACCAAAGGAAGAGAAGAAAACACTCCCACTCTGAGATAAGTCGGCTCAGTATCCGCCGGGGGAAGCAGAGGAAGACGTCTACTCCGTTGGAAAGACCAGATGGAGAAGGAGCTAGTTACACTTGACACCAAACCGTGAAAAGGAAAACCCGCGGATGCGCTGTTGTGAACCGCGTAAGCCTCAAAGTGATTATTACCTGTTCCATTCTATAACGAATGATTTTGTTCGCCTCAGGAGAGGTTTATGAATGGTTATTATCAAGCAAGCTTGACAGAATCTCGGAGACTGTTACAGAATGCAGCCGCTCACCGATCGAACAAATGTGCTCTGACAATTTGTAAGATTTTTCTACTACGAAGAAAATGAGTTGACAACAGATTGTCTGACAACTTTCTTTTAAAGACAAGCACTTACATAAAAACCCAGGATGAACTTATTACTAATAATTGTTTAATAAAGAATTAACACAACAAAATGTACCGACATGCGATACGTTGTTGTGCCAACATAAATATTGGGCACAACTTAAACAACGCGAACCAACACAAATTTTATCGCAATAAGTACTTGTTGATCGAGACAATCCAACTCACGAATTAGATGACACGAAACAATTTTAAAGGAAGCGATGAAATATAGCGATATCAATACGCGCTCGAGAGCCAAGCGAGTATCTTCAGTTGACAAAATCTTTGATAAAACACGGATGAAGCAGCAAACGGACGGAACGACGAAATGTACTCAGTTCAGGTGATAAAAGACACCGTTAAAGCGGAATGAAAACTACATGTTATTGATGTCGAAAGAGAAAAAAAACAACAAAAACCACAACAAGCAACAACAGCAATATTACACAAAGTACAAATATTTGCGCCGAATCGATTTATTCACAGCGTCAACCACGACAAGGTTGGCGACGCTGCCACCCACCACTCGCCACAGCCGGGCAATGCGCCGCGCTATTATATACATACGTATATATGTATCTATGTGCATTAAAGTATATAAATGCAAACAAGTTGATATAAGTGAAAAGTAATAAAAACAACACCATCAACATGCCTACATAGGTCCAACGGTACGAGTATAATGAGGCAGAATACAAACAATAGTTCAAAGGGTGAGAAAACAAGCGCGCACAAGAGTGTATTTAGCCGACACAGAGCACAACGTTCAACGTTTTACGATGATTGCTGCAGTGAGAGAGTGAACAAAATGTGGTAGCACAGTAAATCCTTTAACATTCTTTTTTGTTGACCTAGTTTCGGTACTTTCTGACATGTCAGTCGCGCACCCACTTTTCCGTTCTCGCCGCCCGCTGACGCGTTCGTGCGCCGCTTGGCTTGCCTTTATCGTGACATTGCGGGCTGACAACAACGATTTTGGTGTTGGTCATGGTGATTGGAACGATAACGTAGAGGTCGGTAATAATGTGCGCCATAATGATGGTGAGCTTGATGATGATTAAGTGGCCCTGGTTTCTGATAAATACACCGTGTAACAAACGTACGCGATAGCAAGAAAGGAAGTTAAATGGATTTGAAGAAATTCGGCCACTGCGTGAGCAAATTAATTGCTTTGTATTTCTCAAAGCTTAAATTTTTTGTTTTTCTTTTTTTGTTCTGTCGTAAAATGGAGTTTGAGCTATAAATATATATTATTTTACTTGACGAGTTGAAGTATTTTTTTTAAATACATATGTTAACAGAATGCGATTAAGGGAACGTAAGCAAAATTAGAATGCAAATTTTAACATCACATTCTAAACGCTCTTAGCTCCCGATGTCATACATAATCAATAAATAACCAATATATAACCATTTTATAACCAGTATATAACCATTTTATAACCAGTATATAACCATTTTATAACCAGTATATAACCAGTATATACCCATATGAGTGGCTTCTATTATGTCGTTTTTCCTTCCTTCCTTCCTAAAAAGTGATGTTACATTATTTTGCATTTTAGGTGCCGATATAGTATAGCAATAACAGTAAATAATATGTTTACAGTACAAGAAAATCCAAAAAAAAATATTTTTACTATCAATCTATCACTGTAGAAAAATACCTACCATATACCGAAATGAAACGAAATCGCTTGGTATTTCAACATTTGATTGCTTTCTAACTACTTAGAAAATTAAGCATTTCATGCTGTGTTCCATATTTAAATGCTGTCTTCCTTCACGCTGTTCACATCATTTAAATGATGTTGCACTCGCCCAGCGTATTGCTCACTGAACTGAACTCGTTGTCTAGCTGATTTCGATATGGCTTGGCGCGCGAACAAATTGCTGATTTCCATATGCATGTACAGATAATAATTATACATGTGAGTGAAATATGTTTCTATTTGAAGAGTATTGCTTCTACAATGAAAGGCGGGCCAGTCCTGTTATAACTAGTTGTTCTTTTTAAAGAAGCAAAAATCCAAGACCATTTATGTCTCGTTGTTGCTCCCAACGTAAAAAAAAACAGACAAGTCCATTTGAGATTAGTTGTAAACTAGTCCGTTAACGATTACATTTTAACTAGTTCTACCCCAAACTCGTCAATGTTAGGGTAAAAGTTATTTAGAATCAGCAGCTTTCGCTTGCACGTACGAACCTCAGTCGAAGATATAAAAGTACCGTTAGAAAAAAGTCGAAAATATAAGAAATGAAATAATTAAATTGCTGCTATGAGCGTGAGAATTGTGTCGGACCAGAAATAGTGTCTTTTCCTGCAGGGTATACTTACATTGATGTTTTTACACTTCCATTTACAACTATGTATATACGAACTTATGTACATACATATGTATTATATATGCTTGGCAACGGCTCTGAAAGTGCAGCAGAAAAACTTCAATAAAGCCTAATAGTGAAAAAATATGAACAAATGAATGGAATCATTAAGTTCCTCTTGCAGCAAGCAGAACATCTGCATATTTATCGCACATTCAAGCTCATTAGACAGTTCTATTTTGCAAGCTCTTCAATCGATTGGCGAATTTTACAGAGACATCCCTTGTTCCATACAGTATTGCAGCGAAGACAATTTACAGTAGAGTAACATAGATATATGTATGTACAAACGAACATGAATGTATTGTTTTTGATATATGTTTTGTGATTATTGAAATGTTTAACCTACATATGTCATATGTACGCACAAAAGAACCCACTTCTGAACGATTTTGACAGTACTGAACAGAGATGCATTTGAACACTTTTCTTCTTTATTTTTGCAGACTGCTAAGATTTCGATATAAATATCGATATAAATATTTACATAACATTATATTCATACTTTTCACGCTTTTACACAATTCTATTGGCAGAAATGTTACGTTTCTTGTCACTCGATATTAGATATGGAATCGAATGTAGACCCTCAACACTTTTTACTTCGTATATAACGTTAAGACTCATAGCAAAGATTTGCTGATTTTTGACAAAAACAAAAAAAAAAAGACATTTTATATGGCAACCATGTGCTATAGTGGTCCGATCCGAACAATATACTAAGAGCTTGTACCGTCATATCGGACAGTAATCCATGTCAAATTTCGTACAGATATCTCAAAAATATAAAATATTTTCCATACTAAAACTTGATTTGATCGCTCAGTTTACAAAACTCGTAATTCAATAGGTACGTTACGAAAGTGATAGCAAATGACGCCATATTTTCCCCCGCTCTTTTGACATTTCTCTTCGGTAAAATTTGCAATTTCATCACGAAAAGAGATACGATCTAACGAGTCGAAATTTTTAAAATTGACTACCAAAATTCGGAGTCAGTGGCCTCAACTTTAAGAGCGCTTCGTCCAATTTATTATCGTCATAATCGTTATGTCAGATCAACAATTGAGGGTGCAGTGAAAAAATTTTTATCCACAGGTACAGCACAAAATGTTCTCTTGCCATTGAGACAAAGAAGTGGTCGTAGTGTCGAGGATATTGCTACCGCTAGCGCATCAATTGTGGAAGACCCACGTCAATCTCTCACACGTCGTTCTCAAGCGTTGTTCATCTCTGTGACTTCGTTGTGGCGAATTTTGCAAAAAAAAATCGTAGCCTACATCCTTCCAAGGGCAAATTGACGCAAGAGTTGAAGTTGTCCACCAGAGGTCGTTGTATGGTCATGAATTGGGCTGAGCAACAGCTTGAAAATGACCCGAATTTTTATCGACAAATCAGAATTGATTCGTTA